GAAATATACATTTTCATTATTTGTTATCGATGATTTTTTTTATTTAACTTAAAATTAAAAAAAATATATAGTTTCACCCTTTGTTACCAACGATTTGTCTTTGTTATCCCAATCCCACACACTTGTTATTTCCTTATTATTTAAAAAAATATTTCAAACAAAATAAAATCGCATACGCTTTATTGTTATATAAATATATTAAATAAAAATAATCTATTAAATAAGAAATTTATTAAATTTGATAGCGTGCATAACTTGTATTGAGAGTTTGACTCAAGTTTATTTGTTTTTTTGAAGAAGAAAATTGGAATTTTTTTATTGATTTTGTCTTTTAACATTGAATTAATTTGAGATTTAACTTCTCAACTTGTTTCTTTAAAGATTATCTCTATAATTTTCACGTTCAACCTGGAATAACCTAGGTTGATCTAATGTGTTTCTTCCTCAATGTTAAATAAAAATATTGTTAGATATGTTGTTGATTTTAAATTCATGGTTAAGGTCTTTTTTCTTTTTTAAAAAACACATTAGAAAAACCTATGTTTTTTTCATTGAAGAAAAATTTTACTCCAACTCGTGGCGTGATGTAAACCAGTGAGCTAGTCAAGTACTGAGGAGTATATTATGTAACATAAGGTGTCAATGTATTGTTTTAAAATATATGATATAAGTTCACGTAACATATAATTCAACCATACATACATTACAAAATAAACTAAATCAAAAGGAAAAAAATGTTTTTTTTTGGTCCATAAAAAATTATTTGTTTAGGTCACAAAACTTTTTTTATTCAATTTTATCCTTCCTTATTATGTTCACATGATTTTAAACCTAATAATTTGCTTCAAATTGTTTACTACATTATATTCGCGAAGTAAAAAAAAGCCTTGATATTAAATTAATGCTGAATTTTGTAAAATAAAATTTTATTTTATCAATTAAAAATAAAATAATAGGGACCAAATGTCATTATTTTAATATTTTTTAAATAAAAATTAAAATGATGTCTACTAGAATTGTTTTTTTATTTTTAAGTTAAACTAGGTTTTGATCATATTAACTAAGTCGATGGTTAGCCTACTAGGCTGATCAACTCAAATCGAGTTAACTCCAATATGATTTAATTTTAAGCCTATGCTGGTTTAGGTAGAGAGGTTTTTAGGTTAACCCTCACATCAAATTTAATAACATGGTAAAAACATTTCTCACTATAATGTGCAACTTACTAACTAGTGATTTCTAAATATAAAAGAAATATTGAATGATTTATATATATACAACCATACTAATTACTAATGATCTATTGTTTATTGTAGATCACTAATATTCTTAATTACATAATTAATTTTATATGAAAAAATTAACTTGGTCTTTTATAATTTAGTTATTAGTATGCTTTCCCTCTAAAATTTTTTGAATTACAATTTATATTTTATAGTTTATAAGTTGTGTAATAATTTATATCATGAATTATATATGCTATAAAAAGTTAAAAATATTTAAATTATTTACATGATTACCATTATATTCCAAATAATGACCAAAGCATATGACCAAAGCATATGTTGCATTAAAATAATGAAATTGTCACTCAAGTTACTTGCCTTCAAAAAGAGAAAAAAAAACTACCAAAAAATACTCCCTTTATTTTACCAAACATAAAACCCTAACCACTTGCATTCACCATACTCGCTATTAAAAACACCAACTTTCAGGTAATAACTTCCTTTTATATGCCTTTTTTTTTCCATCACCTTCATAACTACCATGTAATCCTCCAACCTTTACTTCACTCGCCATAAAAAAAATCCAATTTAGGATAATAACTTTTATCTCATTTGCTTCTCTATCTTTTATTTTCTTCACAACTACAACACAATAGCAGCCTCTACCATGTTAGTTGCCAAAAACATGAACTTTGGCTAGCAACTTCTCTCTCAGATGACTCTCTCTCTTTTATCTCTTTCTCAACCACAACACAAATCTTTTGGTTTTGATTAATAGATGATTTTGATTTATTTTCTATTTAACAAGTGAAAAATAGTGGTAGTGAATGCAAAGAAAAATATCAATGATTAAAAATCCTCTGATAATTTTTTTATGAGACCATAAGATCAATCATAAGATATCGTTTTCACTGGCCAAAATCACCAAATACACTATGCTAAATAAAAAGAGAGCCAAAAAGAGGTTCATAGGGCCTATAGATTAAAAGTAGCATTGATTCCATTTTTTTAGTAATGCTTAAGATAATATAAATTAAAGAAAATTTTTCACCAAATATACTATGCTAAATAAAAAAAGAGCCTAAAAGAGGTTCATAGGGCCTATTGATTAAAAGGAGTATTGATTCCATTTTTTTAGTAATGCTTAAGATAATATAAATTGAAGAAATTTTTTTATCTTTTAAGCATTAAGACTACTACTTAACAAGTTGTAGAGATTTTTACTCAATTTAACAAGCAAAAAGGCAAAGGGTATTAGGTTTTGATTTGATAGGTTAATTCAATAAAATTATCTCTTTTCAGATATAATTTCTATATTTTCTTATGACAAACACAGTTTTTGAGGATAAATTCATATTTTTATTTAAATTTTAAAATTATGTTGACATAAGATATAAATTATAATTTTTAAAACTATAGAAGCAAAATGTAACTGCTAATTTACTATGAACAGGGTAAAAATATTTTTTTCATTCTATATTTTTAATAACATATATTAATCTTCAAAAATAACTAAGATAAATAAGATATTTGATAGAGCATATAAGACTAGTTGTTTTCATATTTTATATTTTTAACCACATATATTAATTTTTAAAATAACTTAGAATAATATTTGGTAAGGCATGTGAGATTAGATGCACTAATTTATCATAGTGTTATTTTGAGGTGTTATAAGAAATTTAAAGAAAATTTTTATTTTTAAAAGGAAACTAAGTCATAACCAAGGTCTTATGGAATTTGATTCATTTTTATATGGTATGGGCTAATTTGTAAATAATATAAATGATTATTATAATTACAACTAGATTTGTAAGCATTTTAATATTCAAGTTAGATTTGGCAGTCTATAAGATTTAGGTATTTTAAGTCTGATAAACATGTTAAACATATATTATTGTGGATTTGACTAACTATCAAGTCTAGACGTCTGGACTTTGACAACCATATCAGGCTTACGTTACTTTCTGGACTTGCATTTACTTGGGTCTGGCAAACATCTAGACCCAAGTTACTTGCTGGTATGGTTGCTGGACCCGTGTCTAGGTTTGATATTATTGTCAAACCCACAACTTTTAGGTTTGGAACAGTTCATTGATCCCAGTGAAATGGGTATAACATGTTTGGCAGACCCAAGTAAACACAGGTCAGGCATATTTGTCATACTTAAAGATGTTGGACTCAAATAGTCTCGGTCTGACTTGCATGTTAGACCTGCACCTAGGTCTGGCAATCTAGCATGCCAAACTCAAGTGTCTGAGTTTCATAACTATGTTAGATCCAAGACGCTTGTATTTAGCAACCTGGCATGCTAGACCCACGTGTCTTGGGTATGATATGGTTGTTAGATCTAAGTAAATCATACCAAGCCCAAATACTTACGTCTAGCAACCTAACATGATTACCAGACCCATATAATATTTACAATAAAACCAAGGGGGTGTGTGTGTCTATATATATATATATATATATATATATATAGAGGGGGGAATATTGTAGAGTGAGAAAAAAAATATCAGCATTCAATCCAAGACTATAAAAACCTTCAATACAAAAAAAAAAAAAAACATTAATATGAAGAGTCACAGCCTCACACTCTACTCAATATTTGAAATGGAATAGGTGATCTTATAAATAACAAGAAAAAAATTATTTTAGTTTCTCATTATAAGGTTGATAGTAATATTATTTTTAAACTAATTTTTATATATAAATACTTAATATCTCATGCCACATATATATAAGGATTAATGCTCAATTTTACGATCGTTTATTTTTGTTATCATATAGTAAAATAAAGAAAATTTTAAATTTTTTTATTAATCATTATGGAGTCCAAATAGGTTTGACATATTGATCTAGTTACTTGATTCATGGGTTTGGCAGGGTTCCCTCCGAATCTGATAAGTTTTTTTAAAAAAAAATTGATCCACAATTTATTTAATTAATTTTTTTATTGATCCTTTATGATTTATTTTTACTTTTTAAAAAACATTATCATGGTCTCAAACAAACATCTATTTTAAGGCTAGTATTTAATTTTTCAAGTTTTTTTTATCATATAATTAAATAAAAATAATTTTTTTTAAAAAAAAATTATTAAATTTAGTAGAGTTCATTGCCCAAACTGGTGACCAGGATCAATCCAATTTAATGTTGTCTCAATATTATAAAAAAAAGTTGTCATTATAATTTTTTTTTTTAAATTCAGTCATATTATCAAAATTGTTTTTAGAATTATAAAATTAATTAATTCATATTAAATCAATTTATATATAGTTTAATTAGAAACTTGGATTAAATAAAAAGCTAAATTAAAAAATTTTGAGAGTTACATGTTTTGCTAAGTTTAATAATAATATCAATAAATTTTTCTTGCTTTTAACATTTTATTTTATATTTAAATAAATTTAGTTTGACCCGCAACGGATCACGACCAATAAACTAAGTTAAAACCACAGCTGATCTGTTGCGTCGGCTGCTGTTAGCGCTTGGAGCTCAGCAGTCTCCGGTCTCCAGCGTCCAGCCTGCAGTCTCCCTCCACCATGTCAGCCTCGGGCTCAAATTTAACAGAAGCACTCAATACATTGCGGGTGGCCAGGCCTTGAGGGTGATAATTGTTGGACCATTGTAATCGATAAGAACGACATTCACATTGGACCTCTTGGGCCTGTCCCATCGCATCAGTTGTCTTAACCTCTCACAATTTTCTTAAAATCCTGATAATTAGTCACATCAGTTACCTTCTTCTTCTTTTTAAATCAGTATTACAAAGCATGCTGTGCAAAATTTTCAAACCGAACAGTCAAACCTAACACTCCCTCATCAAACCTTCCAACTTTAGGTCTCTCCCAACTAAACAAGTTCTTAGATGCAATCAATGGTGGTGATATTCAGCTTTCACTTCAAACATTTCGATTTCTAAGGTCTACATTGTAGGAAAGAGCCAAGTGGGTGTGTCTATGGCACTAGTTATATATTGGTATGATATCGTATGTTTTGGCATTGTTGCTGCGTCTTTTGTTGTGTCCCTGTGGGTTCTATGGAGGAGGGAACTCGCCTCAAAATGTGACGATAACTTCTTATATCAGAGCCTCCTCGCGGCTCGACCGGATATTAATGATCCGACCGTGCTTGCAATGCCAAGGAACCATGTTGGTTCTTCCCAGCTGTGGACTAGTTGCTGGAAAGGGGTGCACCCAGGGTGGCTCCTGGCTACTCGTTTCATCTCCTTCCTTGTCATGGCTGGACTCTTGTGGAGGGATATCGTGGACTGGGACGCCACCATATTCATTTACTACACAGAGTAAGTTGTTATTGATTTTAAATCTTTTTTTATATATATAACTCCATATACCAGTTGATTTCATCGATCGTAACAAGTCTCAATAAAGTAAACTGAAAGAGAAGGGGGAGTTATTGGTATGAATCTAATACTTGTCACTTGAGAGTCCCAATTGTTCATAAAATAAGAAAAAACAATGGTTTTACTACGTTGATTCATGTGAGTACAGGCAATATTGCAATACACATTTCACAGATTGTCAGGTCTATCGAAAATTTCGTTTTACTCGAGTTTTTATTTAATCATTTGTGTTTTAATTATCGAGCAACAGATTTTAATATTAGAAACGCTACACTGCGGGAAGCTAATCTTCACAATTTTATAAATATAATTCTCGTTTTTTCGAAGAAAGGAAAGAAAAATGCAATAGGATTTTTAAAAACTTTCCGGTGATGAAGGATCCATTAATAGTTCATAGTGAATCACAACGAGAAATATCGTCCCTGCTTCACTGAGTTCCATGTAACTAAAACAGTAATGCTATATTGTAATAAGTCTGTGTGTGTGTGTGTGTGTGTGTGTATAAACTTAAATGTCCCGAGGACTAGAATAACAAGAAAAGGGCCTGAAGGGCCCGTACCAGCAAAAGTGGGCACCTTTGACATATACCAAGATTTTCTGGTTATGTAGCCTTGACTTCTCATTTCTCATCTCAAGTGGTCAACTCTCAAGACAAGAACCACTTTGGTTTGGATCCCGCATCCATCCATGTCTAATACTTCAGAAGGACTTGGGTACTGGCTCCGATGGCAAGTCCCCGTTTGTGCTTTAGCTATCATCTGCCCATCTCTTCTTTCCTTTTATATAATCAAGAAAGCAAAGACAGAGCCGCTGTACATCCATGATCTTTGGAAGCCACGCTGGAGATGTCTTAATCCTCTTTGGCTTCTCTGTTATAGATTTTTCGCTTTTCTTTGCTTGTCTCCCATGCTTTATCGGATAGTCTACTTAGATGGTGTTTTTGCCTTCTATTTCTACACTCAGTAAGATCAATACCCCAAAAGCTTTGCCAAAACTTTTCCTCCTCTACAGTTCTTGATTCTGAAATTACTGTACAGTATGTCAATGTCATTGTGAACTGGTTTCTGATTTTAGTTTCTAATTTATCTGCGCAGATGGACATTTATGTTGATTATGGTATATTTCGCGGTATGTCAAACAGTGTAGCACTATTGTCTCCATTTTATTTACTGTTTCGAGTAAGGACTAATACTTGTTCATTCGCTCGGCAACCATTTTCTTTTGTAGCTGGGCACTGTGATGTCTGCATATGGATGTTGGGTGTCCTTAAAGCAACCAATTGTGTCTGAACATGGCGAAAATTCTGTTTTCTTGAAAAGGGATGTGGAAGAGGATGGAACTGCAACCTCTATAACTTATAAGGAGAAAAAAAGTGGGGGTATCATCAAGTTACGAAGTCACTGTGCTGAGGAGGCAATTCGAGAAAGAGCTGGATTTTGGGGATACCTTATGCAAATTATATACCAGGTTAGTCATCAAGATTTGCTTGCTTCTTATGTGTGTATGTCATGTATATATATATATATACATGTAGGTATTTCGGCTTTCTTTCCTTGTAATAATTCATCAGCACTTAATGCAGTTGCTCATAGTTCTGTAAACCCTCTTGAATATACAATAATGAAGCCAAAATGTGTGTACATCATGGGTTTACAGGCCTTTCAGTAGTGCTTCATCGATTTAGAAATGCCTTTCTTCTGGTTGAAGCGAGCTTATTTATATTTCTCTTCTATTTTAACAGACTTGTGCAGGTGCTGTCATCCTAACGGACATTATATTTTGGTGCATTATAGTCCCTTTTTTATCAAATACGCACCTTGGCCTCAATGCGGTGAGAATCTCTAATGAACTGGTTTTAGCTCATTTTGGTGCTTGAAATCTTTAATTTATTGGAGGTTTTGTTGGGTTTAATTCTCTATATGTTAAGCTTACAGTTTTCCAAGATCTATGAACTGTCTCTGTACATTGTTCGTACTGGTCCGATCATACAATCTCTTGGAAATGCATGGAGCAAATCATTACCTGCTTCAATTCTCTGGTGGAATTCTTACTTACTTTTTGATGTTCTCGTGCTTTGCAGTTGATGGGTTGCATGCATTCTCTGAATGCTGTTTTTCTATTGCTAGATACCGCTCTCAATAGCCTTGTAAGTATTGCACTGCTAGAAGTGGAAGTCCTTTAGTGAGACTTTACATGGATTCCATGGCATCAATTTGCATCGAAGTCATCACTGTTTTTCTTTTACATTGGAAGAAATTTCATAATAGTCTATGAATATCTAGATACAATAGATAACACAGTTCCCTTGGAGAACAATGAATCCAATAAGGAGAACTTAAAAGAGAGCATGGCATTGTTAGCAAACCAATCTACAACTCCGTTAGCATTTCTACTAATGAACCTAAAACACAGTTAGAAAGCCTGGAAACCATTTGCCCGATATCATCCACAATTGAAGCAAACTTCCCAATCTGGAATCATATTGATATTTGAGACTGCATTGACAGCTTGTGAGGAGTATAATTCTTTGTCAAAAGATATCTGTGAGATAATTTCACTGCATATTTGATTGCTAAAACCTTCTTCAGCATAATAGAATTGCGGAGACCCTCGTAAACACTCGCATATCTCATAATACATAGGAAAGCCTACTAATCATCCCAATCCCTGAATTCCCTAGAAAGGAAACAACTCAGTTCAATTTGAAACCTTAAAGCACGGAGGAATCTGTCTTGGAGGAGCGTACAGGTTTCTGTGAACAAAAGTGCTCTAAGTTCGAACAAATTCCTCTGCATCCATCTGCTGACCTTGGAGATTAATCGGTTTTTCCTTCAAGAGCCAAGCTGTTTGTGTGAGCACAAATGACTCATGGGAGCAATGAATCCCTTTGTATGTCCAGCACTTAGATTGCCATGAATCTTCCACCATCAGTATTTGAAACTAGTGAAACCAATTCTGTTTAGGCTGTACCTGAGATTACTAGAGAACCAGGTGTGATTACATAAGACTCGTACTCCTTGTGGCATGTTTGACAGAGAGGAGCCTCCACCAAACTTGTTCGTGTAAATTTATTGACTAGGGAACACTATGCAATCCTTCACAGCCTTCACGTGAAATTTCTTATTTTTGCAAGTGAAAAATAACTGCTTCGATAGAAAGGAGAGGGTAATGACTTAATGGCTTTGTGCCTTTGTCACCCAATACGTTTATCTTTTGCTGTAAAGTAGACGTCTTCGGATCTCCTCTCTGGCGATTAACCTTTTGTCTTGGTTTTTCTTTCAGCCATTTCCTTGGTTCCGCCTTGCATATTTTGTGCAGTGGAGCTGCCTCTATGTCATTTTCCAGTGGGTTATTCACGCATGTGGTTTTACGTGGTAAGCATAATGGTTTGTTTTATCCTTTTCCAATCACTAGATAAGAAGACATGCTTTCTCTTCTCTTTTATTCTGGTTCAAGTACTAGTAACATTTTGTGCATCTTTCTTAGGTGGCCATATCCATTCCTCGAGCTTAACACACCCTGGGCTCCTTTATGGTACATTGTTCATCTCACTTTTATCTGTTTTTTTTTATTTTACTTTGAATTTTATCACATTTAATAAAAAAACTAATGATTTTACACATCCTACAGGTATTTTGCGATGGCTGTAATTCACATTCCTTGTTATGGAATATATGCACTGATTTTTAAAGCAAAAAATACGATTTTTCCCCGATTGTTCCCTCGTTCTTTTGTGAGATCATACTAGTTTCTTGTTTTTTAACAACCGACTGCTGTTAAAGGTGATCTCAATTTTGGTTGTATGTTTACGAAGAGGGAACCCTCGTCCATTCCCTCAAAAAACTCGTTTTTTATGGGCAATTTACAGTTGGATGAATGAGTATTCGTGTCCTGAAATGAAACTCACCTGACACATTCGCAGGTCTCCATTTCTCATCTTTTTACTTGAAGGAATTCCCTACTGGTAACTCTGTAAATGAGCTACAATATGAAAAAAGCTAAGATTTCCCAAGCTTTTGCCCCAGAAACAGACCTTTCAGACTGTTGGGTTATGAAATTCATACACTAATGAAAATCATAAATTTAAAATATTATTTAGGATTTCATTAGATAAATGTAAAGTTTAGGGATTTATTATATGAAGATCTGATTTTATCTAGTTTTAAATAATTTTTTAAAAGTTGGGTTGTCTAGTTTCTAATGATAATCTATACACCATTAGTGTAAAATTTTTAAAAAATTTTATTTAAAAGAGATTATTATGTCTATAATGATAGATTTTATAGTTTTCATAGTTTTTCTATCAAATAAATAATCTCATAAAAAGTAAGAGGCATGGTTTTTTATTTTTAAGTAATTCTAAATAACTCTATATAAATGACAATGCTATTTGCCTTCTTAAGGATAATTTAAGAAATTTAATCAATAAAGTCTCTATATATAAATTAAAATTCTAAATAAATAAATAAATTTAATTTATTATCAATTCAATAGTTAATTAATTTATATTTGAAAATTAAATGCACCTTCTAGCAATGTGTCACGATCCCTAAATATTAGAAAAGTTATAAAGTGGTTTGACTTAATTTTTCAATGAATAGTTTTTTAGTGTAATTATTATCTTTTCATTAATAATATTCTGATTTAAACATTTTAGTATGGAGTATGTTATGTCAAATCATATTTCTTCGTAACATTATAGTCATTGATTTTTTAAATAAGGTTTGAAACTCTTTTCAAATTTTATTTCATATTGCATAAGGATTTAATAATCAATACTATTTGAGAACATGTGAAATATTTTCTCTAATTCACCAAAAGTAACGAATCATCTTTTATTCATTCAAATGCCTTTATATAATTTATAATATATCCAATGTCTACTCATTTATTACATTTATTAAGATAACGTATAACATAATCAAAATATAACACTTCATACATAAGACAGCTTAGTGATTTTAAGTCTAACAATTAATTACACAATCATCATGTAAGTCTTTTTATAAATACAAGTAATATCTCCATATGAAATTTTCATGCGGGTCAGTTCAGTATACAAGTCTCATAATAAACATCTATATATTAGTTCTATGCATTTTTATACCTCAATTTATGAGAACAATTATTTCTTTTTATAAAAAAAATAACATAAGATGTATCACTCTATATGGCTATAATAAATGTATAATATTTAAGATAGTATCGACCAAGAATATTTTAGGAACAATGACTAAGAATATTTTAGGAACAATGTTTTGATGCAATAAGAATCTTATAATTATAACAACTTCATAATTTTCTTTGCAAAATATTTTTATCTTATAAGCTTACTTTAGATTTATAAAATCAAATATTAAATTCATTAATTTAATATTATATAAATATCAAAGATGAATTAAACCTTTATTAATAATAAATATGTATTTATATAAATATAATAATGCCACGTGTAATTAATCTACAAGGCATATTAAACTTAAAATGACTATTGAAGCCCTGATATGAGGTGGAGCAATGAAGATGAGTTGATTCTATTAATTATTATGAATGTCTGATATTTTAATCAACTAGGGTATCAATATAAATAAGTATATGAAGATAAAAGGGGAGAGGAAATAAAAAATATTTGACTTACAAAAAAACATGAAAGGCAATTTTGCAAAGCTATAAGGAACATCAAACTAACTTTCATGAACATCAGTTAAATCCTACTATAGATAATAATTTATAAATCCAAAAAAAAAGGTACTAATAAGGTCTCTAAAAACTTTTATTATAAAAGGTCTTTAAGATATTGAGAAGCTTGCAATGTTGGGTTTTAGCAACTTTAAAACCTATAAAATAACTTTTTTGGAGATCTTTTAATGTCCAAGTTCAAGTAGGAAGGGAGGTTTTAGTAAGACTATTAGTTTATGTGTTTATTTATAAGTAGTATTTAGGGTTAATAAGGTTGTAAATATATATGTTTATTTATTAAGTAGTGTTTATGGTTGAAATAAATGGAAGAAGGTGGTGTTTTTAATGAAGGTGTTTTTCATGAAGAAGCCTTTGCCTTATCTTAGGGGTCAAGGTTTACATGGCCTTTAACTCATGTAAGTGAGTTTATACAATGATAAAACAATGAATGTGCTTGTTATTAATAGTTTTGGATTGCTCATGTAACAGTCTGGCCCAACCTGCCATATATTGTTCACTTTAAGCCTTATCGCTCTCACGGTTTTGTTTTTGGTGACATGAGCTCACTTCTGAGCTTGACGCTTCAAAACACGTATGACAAGTTGACAACCAGTACTCCTAATAGGGCCAGCTACTACTCCATCACCCGTTGATATGAGATATTACAATCCACCTCACTTAAGAAGTCTGATAATTCCGTCAGCATAATCGGACAACCAGTAAGATCGTCTGATAATTCCGTCAGCATAATCGGACAGCCAGTAAAATCGGCTCTAATACCAAATATAACAGCCCGACCCAATCTGTCATATATTGTCTGTTTTGGGTCTTACAGCCCTCATAGTTTTGTTTCTGGTGATACGAGCTCACTTTTAAACCTGATACTTCAAAATATGACTATCTATCACCTTCTCACCTGCTGATGTAGGATATTACAACTTAAAAGCCACTAAAACTACTATCATTTAATGTGCTTGTTTTTTATGGTTTTGGATTACCCAAAAGTTGCTAAAGCTACGATGATTTTGGGTTTGTGTGGGCAATGAACTATTGATGAAAGTTGGGTCATTCTCGGTGTGACAAGTATGTATATATTGTATTCTCAACTTGTTGCAGACAAACCAAGTTTGATCAAAAAGTTATAATATTCGTGTATATAAGAATTCATTTGAGGGTTATATTGTCTGAAAGGTTTCTTGTTAGGTTATGATTGCTAAAATACAGGTTGCCAACACACCTTGGAGGGTGGCAGACTTTGAAGGTGTGCCAAGCCATCGAGATACCATAAACCAAAGTTAAGGACATTTTTCATTGAGAATATTAAGTCACAAAGACATTCTCAGACCCAAATTGAGGTCCATTACATGTAGCTATGTTTGTCTACCTTTATTTGAGTAAATTTCGAGTCCATAAAGATTTTGTGAATAAATCAATATCTGATTTGATGTTGTTTGAGTGTTTATGAATCTTGTTCAAAGAGTGTAAATCCTAAACCTATGCATATTAATAACAAAATTTTGTTTGTTTTAAGGAGTGTTTTGGTATTGTTGTTGGATGATGTTTTTAAAAACTTTTAATTTTTTTAATTTTCAATTATATTTTTATTGTTTAGATTTATTAATATATAAAATAAATTTTAATAAATAAAAAATATATTATTTTATTCCGTTTATAAATAAAAAATACTTTAGAAAGTAATCTTTTACTATATTTTTAAATAAATATTTAACTGTGAACTCATTTTACTACATGAACTTCACCAAAGCTTTTTTTTTTGTTTCCTTTATAAAATATCATTTCTTCCTTATTATAATTTTTTAAAAACACTTTTTTGGGTTATTCAAATAATACGTGTACTGTAGAAGTTAATTTTATGACATAGACATTTAATAATAAAAATTTTGAATGCTGGCTCTCATTATTAAATCTAAAGAAGCAAGAAATAAAATATACTTTTTGACCATTAGATCAGCCATTTAAGGTTATTACAACTATTTCTAAATTGTAATTGTCCGATGGAAAAAAAGAAAAAAACTATTCATAATTTTGTAGTCCATGATTTATTTGACCTTGTATTAAATAAATAAAAAAGTTGGTAATTAAAAATATGAGAATGGTTGTCTCCAAATTATGACAAAGTTAAAAGGAATTAAAATAATAATAAAAAATTGAGATGGCAACCTGCATTATTTGTCCAAGTTTTAATATAAAAGAGCAAATAAAGAAAAATTAATCAATATTTATGGTTATAATAAATAAAAATAATAATAAGTTATGGGAATTAACAAGGGTAACACCTTCCATTCTAAAAATAGTTGTGATTTTGCAAAGTTGTAATTATAAGGTATGTTTTTTTTATAGTTTAATTATATTTTTGATATTTTATATTTATTTTTTATTTAAAATTAATTTTTTAATTTTTTATACACTAATAATTAAAAATAAAAAATATTTTTTAAATAAAAATATTTTTAAAAACAATTATTATTACGTGCTGTAACTCCCTGAAAAAAAAAGGGGGGAAAAGCCAAAATCTACGTCCCTGCAAATAACAAATAGCTCTATGGACAAAACCGCACTTTCACGCCCTCAAACCCAAAAAACCCTAGTATCGGTACCATCCTCCTCAAATACCCCTCCCTCGTACGCGCCACCGGGCGAAACAATCTCTACCCGTTCTGCTTTGCATCTACAAGCGAAGATGCAGATCTTCGTGAAAACCTTGACGGGTAAGACAATAACCCTCGAGGTTGAGTCCTCAGACACGATCGACAATGTCAAAGCCAAGATTCAAGACAAGGAAGGTATCCCACCAGACCAACAGCGTCTCATTTTCGCTGGAAAACAGCTCGAGGATGGCCGCACGCTCGCTGACTACAACATCCAGAAGGAGTCCACTCTCCACTTGGTGCTTCGGTTGAGGGGTGGTGCCAAGAAGAGAAAGAAGAAGACCTACACCAAGCCCAAGAAGATCAAGCACAAGAAGAAGAAGGTCAAGCTTGCTGTCCTTCAGTTCTACAAGGTTGATGATAGCGGCAAAGTCCAGAGATTGAGGAAGGAGTGCCCTAATGCTGAGTGCGGTGCTGGAACTTTCATGGCTAATCATTTTGATAGGCACTACTGTGGTAAGTGTGGGCTTACCTATGTTTACCAGAAGGCTGGTGGTGATTAAGCTTACTCGAGTGGTTCTCTAGCATCTTTTTTCGTTTTAAAGCATCGAAGAAGGATTTTGGCCAATTTCT